CACTAGGGGAGTCTCCGTCAGAAGGCGTAATCAAAATCAGACAGACTCTCCTCCAATCACCAAGCCGAGGTAATCAAACTCAGACTCCCACACCCTCCCTGACGCACACATACAATGATTAAGGTTATGAAAGGATGCAAGGTTATTTTACAATGCATTAATTCACTCAGAGCCAATCCGTCCCTTAGTTTTCTTTCCAACATGCTCTTCTGTGTTGCTCTTGTGTCAGTGCTTCGTCTCATCGTCTCAGCTTTGTGGTTGCTTTTCTCTATATTTGTTCTCTGTTGAGCTACCTCACTGTATACAGTACTTGTGAAAATGACTGCTTGTTGTCTCTGCTCTTTATTCAGCAGAATCAAATTTAAAACTCAAATTACTGTGCGGATCTATGAAGCTTCAAAGGCGAGCTGGAAATTCCTCCAACTTTCTTGTGTTCAATAGAACTTATTTCAAGAAACTTTGCTGCCAGGAGTTCGCATTGACTTCTGCCATATAGTGATTATGGAGGTACACTATGTAGAGCAGATTGTATCATCAAGAAGTTCACCAGATGTAAACTTGTGAAAAGAGTTGTATTTCAGCTTTGTCTAACCTGTTGTTGTCACCTCAGTTTCAGCATGTCAGCATTTGCAGCAAAGGCGTTATCAACATTTAGGGACCTAAAGTCATCTCTGCTTTTACTGCAGAAAAGCAAATACTTTGTGGAAGTGGCAGCTGAAATATCTGGGTAAGCAGTGTATGTATGCGTAATATTTCAGCTATTTTTGCAGTTCAGCATTCATTGACAAGCGTAACATTACTATCTTCTCTATAGAAAAGATAAAGGCAGCTGATCAACTGTTGAGCTCAAAGCTGAGTGCTACAGTAATTATTATTAGCATATATGCGTCTGCCACATTCTCTTACCATCTCTTTCTTCTCTTCTTTTCTCCTGTCTGCCCTGCATCCCCTCTCCTCTCCTCTTGTTATATGAGATAAATACATGTGAGATCATGACTTCTTTATCTTGTTTTAGGGAGGTCTCAAGCCACTTTGTCTCATTTTCTTATTCTGTAAAATGCAGGTCTGCGATGATGTCCAGATAAATAGTGTTTCAGGTTGCATGTGTACGTTTGCATATATGTGTGTGTGAGTCTCTCTCCAGCGAGTACTCTCTTTGGGGATATTGCTGCTCTAATGGTCTGATGTACAAATCTACAAAGACCTCCACTGCTGTGAACTGAAGAGAAGCACACAGACATGCACACACTCTTCTGGGCAACAGGGAGACTGACTGCTGTTTTGATTGACAGTCTGAGGAGTGTGTGTGAGATGATAGCAGGTATGCATGGAGCTTAATTAATTGGAGTAGGGATCCTCATCTCCTGATACTAACAGAAATACCCTGATGCCATTAGAACTATCTTTCTATCTAATGCAAACACATACACACACACACACACACACACACACACACACACACACACACACACTAACACACTGAATCAAACACATGTATACTTTAACTAATTGACCAGACCTGCACCTTGTATCTGACCCCCCCCTCCCCGGAGTGGTTGTGTGGATGTGATTTAATGTGTTGACTCGATAATTGGGAACCTTGTACAGTACATGTTCTTCTTTAAATATTAAAAATTCAACTTCTATCAATCTTTAGTCTGCAGTGACTGAAAGTCTTCTTTAACACCATATGTTGTTGACAGTGATAAAAAGCTCCAGGAGCCGTACTTCCTGTGATTACAGTGTATGACCTCTCACCAAGCTGCTGAGCTGCTATCAATTGTGGCTGTTCCAGCTCAAATACAGATGACAGTTGGGGATTTTTCTTTTCAGCAGTATAGGCCACACTTGTGGACAGCGGTCAGGGACGCGCAGATAGCGTCAAGTAGGCAAGTCATACAGCTGGATGGGTGCCACTTTTCTTACCGTCTTTGGGGATTAGTCAAAGGATTTTTACTGTCAGTCGTGACATGCTTGTTTGTGTGGAAAACACATATAAGAGCTTTCTCCACCAGCAGTCCTGACATTAACAGGTTGTTGGTCATATCCTCTGTCTACACCCATGACTCACTTCATTACTGAGTGAGAGAAAGAGTGAGTCTCTCTCTCTTTCTGCCAATTCTCTGTCTCTTCTTCTTTGTTGAGCACAACGCTCGAATCAAACTAAGCAAGGGGAGAACAGAAAATAGGTATCTCATTTATTCTGGAGAATTTCTGAAAAGACAACATTTTTAGAAATAGAAAATTTGACTGACAGCTATGGTCTTCAGATCCTGTACAGGCTGCTTAATAAAATGGAAATGTTAAAAGAGGGGAGACAGGAAATGGAAGGACAAAGAGATAGGACAAGAAATGCAAAAAGAAAAAAGGAGGTACAGATGAACCAAAAAAAAAAAAAAACACTATTTGTATGAGTTCTTTCACATGCTTAACCAATTAAACTGGTGAACTGCTCATCACCTCAGTCCACTTCAATTTAATCTAATTAGCGAGAAATTGATTCTTTTTTTCCTCAAATTTCCTGCAAGCAAAGCTTGACTGATCTCCGTCATTAATATGCCCAGTCTCAGTCTATATGTAATATGTAACTCTTAGGATAACAGAGAATACTGTGATTAGTAAATCAAAACTGTCAGTATAGGCATCATTTTAATCCAAAATTGTAATCTGCTATAGCATTTTCATCTTGCTAATAAGAGTAAGCTGGCACTAATCAGTGTAAACAGTGTAGTTTGCTATGTGGCAGACACATAATACGATTCAAACCCTTTCGAATCTGAGGAACAAAGAAGACCTGTTCCATGTTGCCACTGTTTTTGTCCTCCAGTTCATTACTATATTCCTCTCCAGTCTCAATAACAAATACCTTAATCAAACATGCTGCTTTATAGCAAAGGATATTTACCCAAGAAATGTTTACTGTAGAAAATACACAGTGATAAACAGAGACTAACACACACTTGCCCACGCAGACATTTATGGCCGAAGACTGATCAGTGAAGCCTAACTATTCCCTTACGATTCTTAAAAAACACCCAAGGGAGCACTCCACTCTGACAGCTGTAACAAGGTACTGTGCGTATATTTATGTGATTGTGTGTGTGTCAGTGTGTGTGACAAAGGATGCCAAAGGATACAACCCTGTAAAGAGAATCTAATTAAAACTCCATACAGCCACAAGGGACAGAGCCCTCTTTCCCTCCCTCGCTCCCTCCCTCCTCTCATTTAACCACAGTGAACACTTCAGCTGAAGGACTGTAGACTCTATCCTCTGGCCTCCAAGGAGAAGCGATTTAGAGAGAAGGATACAGCCATAATGTGATTCAGCGATAAAGGCTGTGACAAAACACAGAGCAAACAGTCACCAAACTTTTCTGTTTGTTGTGAGTGTAGCCTATGTCTTCCAAAAGGGCCATTAACTAAGGGCCGGTTCACACCTGAAGGTCCGGTTGAAACATTAGGAATGTCACGAGAACAAATACTTCTGTACCAAGTTGATACCAAAATTTTCAGAAAACCAACATGTTTTCACAATTTTGGAAAACACGTAGGTATAGAAGTACTTTGTGTTACCATTATTTCTGCATCGCCTGGCCAACATTTGCAATGGCTAAACACTAAAGGCTACCGTGTTCAGATGTAATGAGAACATAGCTTGTAGCAGAATACGCTGCTGTCCTTACCACTTTCCAGTCTGTGTCATATGTTGTAATCTTGTTTTAAATAAATATTTCCAGACTAACGCTCAGTAAATTTAAACTACCGCTTGCACTCTCAGTAGAGGTTTATTATTTTGTATTTGTTTTATAATGTGGTATCAAATTTGGTATCAAGAATTGTGGAATTTTACTGGTATTGATATCGCCTACAAAATATCTGGTATTGTGACATCCCTACATACAATAGAACGCTTCCTGTTATTGGTTCAAATGGTGTTCACACAGCGGTCCAAGACCACCCCTTCGAGGCGGACCAGGGAGCGGATGTTTGGCCCGCACCACAGTTCGAGTCTGGCGTTCACACCAAACTAAACGACCTGCAGGAAGGGGGTAAACCCTCTAGGTTTCAGTTCAATCGGACTAAACAAGGCAGGTGTGAACCCGCCCTGGTGTTAATTAACCAAAAACAATGAATACGTGGAGCACAATGGCCAATGCAAATTAAGTTTGAATTCAGGAATTTACCCTTTAATTTAATGTAAAACCATAAACATGCAATGCAAAACTATGATTTTAATATTTTTTAAATAACAAGAGTCTGTAAACACCAATAAACAGCTGTATCTGAAACAACACTGGGGTCCTGGATGTGGGCTATAATAACTTAATAATTTTATTTTTGGATTTCTTTTTAGATCTAGTTCCAGACTGGTAAAATACCCAAGACCAAAGGTAAGGGGGCAACAACTTTTTCTTCAATGTTTTGTCTCTCCTCCCTCTTTACTATATTCAATGCTCTCATTTTTAGCCGGAAAATGATTCTTTTAGCCAGTTTGGATGAAGTAGCTTGCAAAAAAATACTGAGTACAAAATTAAGTGGGCTTCATCTGTTTTTCTAATATGTCACATACATATTTAATCAACCTTTCATTTCCTCCTCTGCTCATCTCGTTTTCAGGTTTTATTTACAGTTTGTCAACAGTAATTAGGCTGCCACTCAAGCTGCCTTCTGCCTTCTCAGCTCGACAAATAGTGCAGATTTCAACGAATCTTTGAGTTTTTCTTATTTTTTTAGTAAACTGGATTCATTCAACACAGAGAGCCCAATCACGCTTCCCCAGAAGCCTACAAAAAGGTGAAATAAAATCAAATAATGATCAAGTAGCAATTTCTCAAAGAGTCTGAAAATCTTATAATCCATAATCAGTCATATTTGATTAGGGAATAAACTCTTCTTCTTTGTGAAATGTAAATATGCTGCATGGTTTCACTCAGTGTAGACTCAACTGATTCTGACTTGCTGAATGTACACCATGTTAATTAGCGGGGTTGTTTTTCTACCTGCGATGCTCAGGTAGACGGCGGGACTCGTCACACTCTCTCCTGTCATTTCGTTCACCGCCTCCACGTGGTAACGCCCTGCATCTGCCGCAGTGGTTGCCAAGACGACGAGCTGATTGTCTAAAGTGATTGCTCTGTAGGGCACAAACGAGACACAGAGACAACATGGGATTAGAAAACAAAATAACAACAACAGAAAGCTAAACATGCGTCTTTCTAGTGTTGCTCCATCTCAGACAAGAACACTACTCAAACTAAGACTCAGACAAGAGGAGAGTGTTTGGTACATGGATCATTTAGAATTCATAAGGGGGGAAGGAAACATTGAATACTATCATCAGAAAGGAAAGAGGATTCGCAGAGCTTAAATAAATCTCTCCTCCTGTCTCAAATTGATATGTGGCTCATTGTGTGTCGCTTTCATTCTTTTGGCCAGTCTCGTTGTTTGTGCATTGTCTTCTGTTCTTCCTTCTTTACACTGATCCATCCTTACATCCCCATGTACCAGCAGCAATCAATAGAGCACAAACATAGATTATACACAAGCACATACAAATCACAAACGCACAAGATCTCACACTGCTCATAGAACACAGACATAAGAAAACAATCACGTACTGTACAGTTTGTATTGCTGTTGCTTTTCAAGTAGTATAATAGGAAGAGTTGATTTTGGAGGGAGACTTTGTGGGAGAGGATGGGGGAGGTGGGGTTGAGGAGAGTAAAATATATCCGAAGCGCTCGGATTTTCATGTGTTTGAACTTGTGTGTCTGTCAGGCAGGAAGCGCAGGTTGATGTTTTTAGTGATGCTACTTGTGTTTTCAGCATGTCAGTGAATGGAAATCTCCCAATATTCTAACCTGAGAGCTGACACTGAAACAAAATCAATATGACCAAACAGAGAGTAAAGCATATTAAAGGGAGATGACAGTCTTTTATTCTTATAGATTCTGTCTGTTCCTGTGCCCCCGCCACTCAGCTACATAAATAATGTATGCTCAGATTGTGACATGAATTTAGCTTTACTACTTAAACAAAAAATAATAGAAGAAAATTATCCCAAATCCTGCACGTTCACAGACATTTTATTTGGAAAAAGAGTGCCATTTGGAAAGACATTATTTTGTACAAAACATCTGCATGTGTGTGTGCGCGTTTGTAAGATGTGTGTGTTTTTCTATGAGCATTGTTTAGCAGTGTTGAATTGGCAGCAATAGGTGCGCCCCCCGAGACTGGATCGGCACAGTGCCAGTTTGCCGTACTTTCCACTCCATTTCAATTCGGCGCACAAAACGGCACATGCCACTTATGCCAACCTGAATCGACACTATACCCAGGTACCAACAACTCACAATAATACAGACTATTAAACACAAATATTAATATGGCTTGTAGTGGAGTCTAAATTGAAAAGATTGTAGTAAAAGATTGTACTGGCTGCCAACAAAGAAAGTACTCTGCCAAAGCAGGAAAATGTTGAATCAGAGTTTACTTCAGCATCTTGACTACCTGCTGCTGTTGATTGATCAGATGATAAGAGATTTGGTGTCATGGCTGCCACTTCTTAACCAATGTTAAATGCAGCTTGCTGGCAAAACCAAATTGCACCCAAGTAATATGATCTAACAGCCTCCACAGCTTAGAGATTACTGTGTTGATGCACCTATGAACATGAGAACATGATAGGACTTGTATAGGCTGTATATCCAGGAACCGAGTGCATGTAGGCGTTCGTATGTGCAACAAATGAATATAGGTACCGATTGATCTGCATTGATTGAGGAGAGAGGAGAAGAGAACGTGGAGCTGTTCGACACACACTCCCACAAACACACATTCACATACAGACAGAATTCCTCACGTCTAATTTTATTCACTGTGATTTCCCAAGAGAACACCCACAAGAGCCAGAGCCTCAACCCCAACACTGACACTCTATTTGTGTGAGTGTATGTTGCTCTGTGTGTGCATTCAACCGCATCTCGCTGCCTTGAAACAGACGCTTTAACCAAACCTTTCTCCTGCCTTCTCTTGCTTATTCCAGAGAAAGGATAGATCATGCATCCTCGCCGAGGTCTATAATGCAATTTATAGATGTTAATCTCATTAACTGCACTGACCAGCCCACCTGCACATCTGTTTTAACCTGCACATGCTGATTAATATACAGTGAAGGCATGCTTCCACTTGCCGATTGTGTCAGAGGGAGAGGAGAGGTATTAACATTCAAAGTCACAGGAGCTCAGTGGGTGAGTGTGAGAATGCTGTAGAACTAAGATAGCATATTAACATCTGGACATTTGTTGAGTTAAAAGTATTTTTTCATGTAGTATTTTTCCTTATTTATATATCCCATTTATATGTACTATTTACAAGTGAAATTACTACAGGCTGATGGCTACAGTGATTTGCTACGTGTTCATTTGTGTCAAATTGGAAGGTCTCAGGCTTGATCCCCCATAAAATCTTCACATGGAACTTTCACATCAAAAAAGCAACACGAAGTGAAATAAATGAAACTTGCCAATAAGAAGTCAGGCAACAGAGATTAGAGGACCTCAATTCATGTGAAATTCCCTTCAAAAAAATAATAAAATGTCCCTATTTGTTCTGGGTAGCTGGAGGGAGGTTATACAATCTCATCGAGTTATAATATAGTCAGACACACACGCAGGCGTACGAATATGCGTGCACGTGTGCTGCTTACGTGCGTCTTCTCATTCTGACTGAATAGCAATGCAGTTGAGACTTAATATAACATAAATTCAACATGCGACTTTCTGCTTTCTTTTAGTTCTACATTTAATTAAACTGGACAAAATTGTTCTGGCTTTTAATTAAAGACAAACTCAATTGTAAAACTGTGCATGACTCTGCGTGTGTGTGTGTGTGTGTGTGTGTGCATATATGTGTGTGCGCGTGTGATAGTTTATCCTCAGGCAGAAGAGGGAAATTAAAATACAGTAATCAACTGCATTCCCTTCTCCATTCCTCCCTGTATCCCTCATCCCTCCTTAAATAACCACAAAAAAACTCTCTCTCTCATATCCCATTTTCCATTCTCACTCAGATGACAATCTGCACATTTCTTTCTTGGCTTCATTCTTATTTTTTTCTCTAGCTGCCTCACTACCACACCATCCTTCCCCCTCACACCACACAACTGTCCTGTCTTGCCTCCCCTCTCCTCCCCCCTGACTCTTTTGAACCAAAGCACCAACCCAGACTGGTCTTTCATTAAGTATCTGGCCCAAAATCTCATTTAATAAACACTCACGGGACTGCAAGACTGACTGCTAAACACACACACACACACACACACACACACACACACACAAGTGTGCCAAGAGCTAATTAGCGCACACATGTCGCAGGCCAGAGGATAAGAGAGCGAGTCAGTGCACGAATGAGTGTGTTCTATATATATAAGTGTGCCTAAGAGTGTGTGTCTGTGTGTGCGAATGTGTGTTAGGTCTGACTCTCCTGCCAACAGAGCCCACCTCGGCCCTGTCTGCCCTGCCTCTCTATCTCTGATAGGCAGCAAGCCACCTTCTTAAACCACACTGCGTCTGACACACAGAGTCTTGGGGCGGAGGCAGAGTGTGGCGGCAGGGCAGAAAGAGGGATACTCCACTGTAAACCGAGTCCAGACAGCAGGCTTTTTGGCAGCTTCATCCCCAATGCAAGTGCCAGCCAGCCACCCACACATTACATTGCACACACAGAAACACCTTCTCACACACGCGCGCACACAGTTGGGAGCATTCACTGTTCCTTGCGGCCGTTTTAACCGGATGTTTGCTTTGGTGTTTAAGTCAGAGGACGCATAAATACCTTCCTTGTTGGACTGATTGATAGTTAACATACCAGCTGCATGCTACGTTTATGTGTGTGTGTCTGTGGACCTGTATAAATCCTGCTTATACTTAGGGTTTTGTAACTTCAAACTTTACACCAGGGTTGAGGTATTCAAAATTTTTAAGCATTCCTGCTGCTAAAATTGCCTGTCAGCTTGAGTTGTGGTGCGGTGTCCTCTCTCAAAGTAATTGGTAACTATAAAACTCAGCTGCAGAGTGCTTTGTTTTGAATGAGGAGAGGATGGAGGGAAGTTTCTGTACCATATTCATCAATGTATATATACTATGAAAGCTTTTTGGGCTTTTCTGGGATGTTTTTCTTCATCTGCAAAACTGCAAACAAAGGCTGACATTAAAAAAAAAACATACAGTGAAGCTACTTTATGAGCATAACCATAAAAAAATCAGTCAAAGTTTGGATTGTTCTTTTTATATCGTTGATTTACAGATCCCCCTTTTTTAACTTTTCAAATCAGAAACAAACAATACAAAAACTTTTCCTTGTAACTTCATTGGATTCTATGAGGATAAGTTATCCAACAAAACACAAAGCTGGTATTTTTTCCCCTGACTTCAAAGGACACACTCCCTTAGTGGCTGATGCCTGACAGCCAGTTCCTGTTGTGATGCTTTGGGGGTAAATTGGGCTCAGGCAGAAGCTGGAAGTCTTAGATATAAGGTTCCATACACTACTGTAATATAACAGTACAGAGTGAGGAGAAAAAGGCGAATTATCCTGGTGGTGAACAGAGAAAAAAAAAAGACAATGAGGAGAACTTAACTTTGCCAATTTCCTACAACAGTTTTGTGTAGTTTTGGAAAATTTGATAGATCTGTTTTTGTAATGGGATTAAAGAGTCTAACTGAGTTAAGACTCAGAACTGGACCACTGCCAGCAACTCTTGACATTCTGCTGCCAGTAGCGTGACAGTGACTGCTTTAGTGATTTTCCATGCATAGTTTAAATTAAGCTATTGTTAACAGAGCCTGGGGTTGACGATTTGTTTTACAGTATATTTGCTGAACATTCTTTAATCCTCTTGCTCAGTCAAAATGTAAAGCCTCTAAAAATTATCTTTAAAAAAACATTTGTTTAAGTTTCTGATTGCTAAAAAAAATGTGAGGAAAAGGCCTACAAGCTAAATTAAGATTTAAAGTTTAGTCAAATTATTATGTCATTTTTTAGTAGCTTTAATGGTAAGGTTCTGTTCTGTGTGGGACTCAATAAGTATTTTTTCTCAGGTCTGAAGAAAGCACAGAGTTTTTGTTCTTCTAC